CGAGCAAGGGTGGAATTGTTCTTTTGTTGGTCCATAGTGATCTATTTGTTGGTCCATAGTGATCTATTTGTTGGTCCATAGTGATCTATTTGTTGGTCCATAGTGATCTAGTTGTTGGTCCATAGGGATATACTTGCAGAACTGATGTTACGTAACTTGCCCTCCGCCCCCCCCCCCACACACACACATGAGGTCGCACTGATGCCCGACTCCAGAAACCCAATAACAAATTAACCGTTTTAACGTTGTCCTCCGGGTACTAAGTAAATTACTATCGATCTATTGCAGTGGTTCTCACTCAGCTGTGCGTTCTTCAATAAATCTATGGGGAGAGCAAATAAATAAATAAAAAATATAATTAATTTTCCGTTAACAGATGATTTCGTTGTTCTTAACCTTCACGGAGGTTGGGCGAATTGCCGAATTGTTCAAGAGTTTAGTGATAAGATGGTTTCTCTGTTAATACTAAAGAATAATGAGAAAAACAAAGAACGTTTGAGAAGCATTGACCTACCGGGGTAGTCGTCATGTCATAACTTCTAATTTTTGTTATTTTAATGGACAATTCTGACCTTTCCAAAAGAGGAAATCTCTTATGGATGAAGTGTGACCTAATGAGACCTAGAAGTCCCCATAAGTTCCTAGAAGTCGCTAGAAGTTCCTGTAACTTCTTATATTCCGGGTAAGATGTCTTTAACATAATATAAAACATTTGGTGAAAAATACATAAGTCAGGGTGAGGGGCGAGGCCCCCAAGCCCCGTTCTCTACAATACGTTGTGACAAATGGCTGACAAACAGATTTTTGAAAGTTCACAAATTGACAAAACATTTCTATGTCTAGTGAAAGTTTTATCATGTATTCGATAACCAGTGAAAGCTTTACCATGTCTCTTCTCATTGATACCTAATGTCGGTATAAGGCTCATCTTGCTAATTACTTTTCTTGAACATAAAACTAAGCTAAATAATTATATGCCAATAAACCTACTTTTAACAATTCATAATGATTGTTTTAATCAATACAATCTCATCTTTAGTTATGCTAAGCTACCAGCAAGTTCTACACAAGCAATTCGGTTCATAAAATATGTCGTGGTCTATGTGGAAGCATATGTTGTCATGTGACCATAATTAAATCAGAAAGATGGCTGAGAAATTTAAATCGACGTCTGTGCTAAGACTAATTCATTTACCAACTAAGCTTAACCTAATCCTTCACTCTGACCCAAAACAGACTAATAATTTAAACTCTTCTTTACTAGTTAATCTGGGAATACAAAGAAAAATTCAGCGCCTTACTAAGAAGTAGGGTAAAAGTAGTCAGGGTAAATGAAGGACGCCACTAGGGAGTCACGGGCGATAGGGGGTTAATCTTTCACTTAGTCGTATGAGCAAAGTCTCGTAACCCTGACTGGTTTACTCCACGGACAACACAGGCGGGGTACTTCATAATAGATGGGAAATAGACGCGTCACGTCGGGTCAGTGTGGGTGGCTTGTACATCGGTGGTGCTCAAAGTGTGTATGGTATAGTGCTCAGGAGATTCAGGGTGGCGCTGGGAGCATCGAAGGGGCGGTGATGAATTATATAAGATAATTGTGTTTAAAAAAAAAATTAATCAACATTTGATAGATAAATAAAATGCTATTTTCATTGGCGTCATTGGGAAGGATAAGCTGGTTCCCGAGATAGCAAATCGCCTCTCTCCTCGCACCTGGACGACCCAAGGGAACATCACACGTGGATGATACAGCTGGGCACCAGGAGCGTCACAGAAGTTGCCGGATTTATCATTGTGTCAATGTTATCCGTCTACTGGAATCCATCCGCGGTTTTAAATTCAAATGTTCCTTCTTTTAGATGAGTTGCCATCCAAGGTTAACGAGTCCCATCCACCCGAGGTGCTAGGGGCCACCAGATTTTTGGATTGACACGGTGCAGACCTCTCGGCTACACAGCACACATTAATTCATTGTATGAGTTTGTTTTCATCAAAAGTTATTCGTTTATGTTACTTACTAGGTCACATGTACCTAGCCAATGAGACGTGACCCGCGATGGGGTGCGAGGTACCTAGCCAATGAGACGTGACCTGCGTTGGGGTCCGAGGTACCTAGCCAATGGGACGTGACCTGCGATGGGATGTGAGGTACCTAGCCAATGAGACGTGACCTGCGATGGGGTCCGAGGTACCTAGCCAATGGGACGTGACCCCCCAATGAGGTGCGACGTTTCTAGCCAATGGGACGTGACCTGCGATGGGATGTGAGGTACCTAGCCAATGGGACCTGACCTGCGATGTGCTTACGAAAGGATTTCTGTGGGGTCACCGTCTCAGACAATATACCAAAAGAAATAATAATTTATTAAAGTTTTCCTTTATTTTATGTGTGTCTTTTAGTCTGAGTTAGAATGTCAATCACGTTATCAAATAAGTCGTAACTAACAATAATGAAAAGTCTATTTTAAGATGTTTTCATCTCCAAAAATTTACCCTATTTAAAAGCTTTTTTTTTCTTAAATCTCTCGGTACGAGTAACTTTTGGTTATACATAAATGTGGTCACGACCTGACAACGCCTAGGAACATGTCTGCTATAGTTCATGAACTTAATAACTCGGCGCAATTAACTAGATTGTTTTAGATCCTGGTTTATGGTGACAATTTTTCACAATCTGTGACAAGATAATTATATTCTTAAATTATGTTTCTGGAATTTTCCGGGATGGGAAAATGTCCATGGAAGACCTTTGTTCACAAAAACAAAATTTCCCGGGGATCCTAGGGGAGACACTCTAATATTTACCTTGGTTTTTATGTTTGTTTGTTGTTTTGTTTTGTTTTTTTGTTTTTTTGAGTATCTAGTGCAGTGGTTCTCAACCTTCCTAATGCCGTGACCCTTTAATACAGTTCCTCATGTTGTAGCGACCCCCAGCCACAAAATTATAATCGTTGATGCCATATAGCTTTAGAGTATAATAATGTGTTTTCCGATGGTCTTAGGCAACCCTTTTGAAATGGTCTTGTGACACCCCCCCCCCCACACAAAGGGGTCGCGACCCACAGGTTACGAACCGCTGATCTAGTGTCTTTATTTTGCATTGCGTCATTTATCTCTGTCATCGAGGGGCTAATAGCAGAAAGTTCATTGACTATCAAAAGATGAGTGTGGGAATAGCTTTTCAAAGCTGTCGGACTCTCTGGCAGGGCCGTATTTCCTATAAGGCCAAATTAGGACACGGCCTAGGACGCGGCAGTCAGGGCCGTATTTCCCATAAGGCCAAATTAGGACATGATCTTGGACGCGGCAGTCAGGGCCGTATTTCCCATAAGGCCAACTTAGGACATGGCCTAGGACGCGGCAGTCAGGGCCGTATTTCCCATACGGGCCAACTTATGACATGGCCTAGGACGCGGCAGTCAGGGCCGTATTTCCCATACGGGCCAACTTAGGACATGGCCTAGGACGCGGCAGTCAGGGCCGTATTTCCCATACGGGCCAAATTAGGACATGGCCTAGGACGCGGCAGTCAGGGGCGTATTTCCCATAAAGCCAACTTAGGGCATCGGCTAGGACGCGGCAGTCGCAGGCGGATTGCATAAGACCATAGTTATGAGCTTTGGACTATGGCATAGGGATGTTAAATAAGGGGCCCTGATCCCTTGACATTTTAAACACAAAAAATGCTCCTCTCATTTCTAAACCCAAAGACAACTGACACAGTATTGTGGCAGGTATAAGCAAATTTCAATGTAAAGAAATTATCGTTGCAAGGAAATGAGGTCGATTTTGTTATGACGAAATACTTTTTGTTTAAATGTTGTTTTTCTTCAAAATTATATGTGTCCATGAGTGTCTATATCAATCGAATATGGTAATTAGATGTAAATCTGATATTATCTTGCGACCATTTGAATATACATGTATAAAACCTGTGACAAAAGAGCTTTGATATAAAAGCTGTCCCGAAGAAGCTGTGCCAAAGAAGCTGTACCATTAACGCTGTGCCATATCTCTAGATCAAGTTAGAAATCCATTAATGAAATAATTAAAGTTGTAACTTTTTTTTTAATCGCATTTCAATGGAAAGTTAGGTCATAGCTCTGGCGTTCAAATTTGATTTGCTTTGTCACCCTTTCTGGTATACATAATTGCTTGGCATATTCTGTCTCTTCGGAGTACATGAAGGATGGGAACACAGTGAGCTTGGCATGTTCTGTCTCTTCCGAGTACATGAAGGATGGGAACACAGTGAACTTGGCATATTCTGTCTGTTTGGCCCCGCCCTGTCAAGTCCTCGCCCACGCCCCATCACCTATTCGCCCACGCCCCATCACCTCCTCGACCCCGCCCCATCACCTCCTCGATCCCGCCCAATCCTCTCCTCGACCACACCCCATCACCTCCTCGACCCCGCCCCATCACCTCCTCGATCCCGCCTAATCCTCTCCTCGACCACGCCCATCACCTCCCCCACCCCCCCCCATCATCCCCTC